AATAAAAAGTACACAATCAATCAGGCTTAAAATAGTGGCTTAGATTATGTGATCATTATTTAGTTGCTCACAGCTGAACAGCCAGTTATTAACTGGCAGCCAAAAATGTTTTCCTACAGCTCAAATACTTCAATTTTGGTACATAAGGTCATAGATCAGGTCCTTGCTAGCTGTCATGTATATCTGAAGCCACAATAGCAAGGGACATATATTAATTTTGGTAAAACACATGAGATTCATCATACTGGAAAGAAAAGTTTTACTGCTAGATTTGATGTACCGGTTGAAACCTTGTGCTTCTAAAAGCAAGTCCCAACCACATGCATGATGTTTTAGAGGGCCTTATTTCAATCCTGACAAATGAGCACCAGATGTTTCTTTTATCGTACTTGCATTTTATAGTTATTCAACATTTCAGGCTCATGCTAAGGTCTTAGAAACTCTCTCTGACCCACCTCTCATCCCATAAAAAAAGAAAAGCTGTGAGAAAGAACAAAATCAAGAACAAAATATAATAATTCTGATTAAATACAGCAAATAAATGAAGGAAGAACTGAAGTCTTTCCACAAGGAGAAAGAGAAGATAGGGTGGGAATAATGTCTGGGTTCAGTTATCATAACACACAGACCAATTGTTAGAAAATCTGTCGTGAAGAACAATGCTTTTTGCTTTTTTTTTGTTTATTTTATTATTCCTTTCAAAACAACTGTGCTCTGAAAGGTCTCCTTTGACCTATAAATACCATGAGCAGCAGTTTGAAAGGCCTGTAATTACATCTAACTATTCTGGCTTCTCTGCAGGTGACAGTGGGGATGAGGTTGCGTCCCTGGAGGAGGGAATCTAGCTTTTAGGATTTATTAGTTTAATTAACCCTTTTTATTTTCTTCTTTTCTTCCTAGAAGCAGCTGTTCATTCACTCCAGTCTTGCTGCCCACCTCATCCATTCTGAAGGAAAGTCCTCTCCAGGCCAAGCTTTTCTCTGACCAGTACCCCACAAGGACACCTTGGGGTGGAACTGCACAGTGCCAGTCAGAGAAAGATTTGTACCTACAAGTGCTAAGTCTTATTTTCATTCCTGTTAGGCTCAGTCTCTGACAGTTTTGATTTTCTATTCCATTTTTGTCTGTCCCAAGAACTTTTCACTGCTTGCTGACTGAATACATTGAAAGGCTTGCTTTCTTGCTAGAGAAGCAATTTAAAATTTAAGTGTAAGCTTAAAGCAATGTCAATATGTAGATACACGCTGAGTTAGAGCACATACCAAGAGGTTGAGAAAAGGGTTCCATTCCTCGATCTACCACTGACTAAATTCGTCAGCTTGCTTCAGATTTCACCCATCTGTGAAATGGGATAATGATCCTTCCTTAACTTACAGGGCAAGAATGTCATTAATATTTGGACTTAGTTTCAGATTCTTGAAGAAGAGCTTTTTCCATTATATCATTTCCCTATTTTGGCCAGCACTTGGACTAAAGATGTGAGTGTAGTTCCAACTCTATATCCTATGAAGTTTGATGGCTGGGTGTGGTGCCGTCACCTGGAACATGCAGTGCCTTTACAATGGATGTTGTGAAAAATAAGCAAAGCCTTGAGTTGAACCTCTGTGAACTTCAGGGAAGTTTATACTTGACTCCACATCCCAGTTTAGCTGCAAGGGACTGTCAAAGACAATCCTATCAGTGAAAAAGCATATAAAGCAACAAGAAAAGGGAAGAAAGGGATCTGCAGCTGAAAAAGATATAACAAAGAAATAAGTGAGCAGAGGAAAACAAACAAAAGCTGAAAGTTTATCAAATCTGCATGCAAGCAACTGGACTAATTTCAAAAGTGGAACTGTAGACTGTATTAGGATCTGATTTTCTTTGGCTCTAGCTTTTGCCTTAACTACCCTGATGCTAATTGCACCACAATGCTGATGGGTGCGTTATACACGCTTACTTGCTGTCTTTCAAGAAAAAGGTGTATGTACTGTGTGTAACTGTCTTTCTGGAATTTGATGGAGGGGACAGATACCTGAAATGAATGAGCAAACAGTGCAAATGCCATTCCAGTTCACTCCCAGGAACACAGTCCCTTAATGGTTTCCTAGAGGCTCATCAGGCAACGTAAGGAGAGGATTCTTTGCCTCCTGCCACAACTGTATAGAGTCCCCAGACACAGAAGGACGCGGCATGATTAATGTTTCATTGTGTATGCCTAACCCGTTGCTACTGGAAAGAGGTGGAGATTATCTTGGTGCTGCTGCCCCACAACGGGCAGATGGTATAAATCTGCATGCAGGCTCTGAGCTCTGTGAAGAGTCACCCTTTGTTTCTGCAGCACCTGTGGGTTTCTGTGACTGATCCTATACTGAACCCTAAGATGGAAACTCACCCCACACATAACTTCACATTAGGCACACCCCACGCATAACTTCAAATACCATTATCATTTTCCTTAAACCCAATAGTCAATGAATTATTTAGTGTGGAGGAGGGAGTTGACATGTCTGCCAAACTTTGAATGCTGTAGAGTTCATGTACCTGCAGAGCTGAAGCTCCCAGTTAATTATCTAGCCTTACTGTTTTATGGAGCTTCATATGTCTTCAAGACCTTAATAAATCAAGGCTTACTTGGCATTCATCTTCTGTGTAAGGCTGGGCAGGTGTTGAACTGTGGATGCTGATCTGAATTGTGATTGCAATAGCTGGCCACAATGGCACTCAGCCTATTCTTTTTGAAGCTAAGGGTTTTGCTCTCAACTTGTTCTCTGCAACTGAGCTGTGGGTTGGGAAGTGCCTTTTGCGATGTTTATATGGCACCTCAAAGTCTTGACCTAATTCACTTCTGTGTGGTAGCACAATATCAGGGTGATCATAATACTTTTAAATACATCAGGTCTTTCCCTTGTAACATGGTTTTAAAAACTGGCATTTAAACACATATGAACTCACAAAGTATTATTCAGATTAGGGTTGAAATATCCATATACATATAAAGCATGCTAGTGCTCCAGAACAAGGACAAATGTGTAGAAACATGCTCTTGGTTACCATTCCAAGGAGGCAGTTTATCTATAAATCAAACATGTAGCACACTTTGCTTCAGATTATCCTCTCGATGCACAAAAGCAACATCTAGTCAGCTTTCACTCTTAAATACAGATTTGTGTCATAAGTAATGTAGGAAATAACCCACAGTCTCACTCTGCACTCTCAAGAGAACAGTAACAATCTTTTCCTGTGAAGGTCTAAGGTGTTCCATGTACAAAGTAAATACAAGCACATAGGAGAACTTGGCATGATGTGAAAACTCTGGAGGGATTAGAAACACTTTGTCTGTCAAAGATTATATTACAGTACTGCAGTACTCTAAAGAGTATTGTAAAACCAAATCCTGGTCATTTGAACATAAGGTAAAAGTATTACATTTTAAGTACAAATTTAAATTGAATAATTCTTAGGAGAATCCTGGTAAAAAATAGAAATAGAATAATTTCTCTTACTTCTGGAAAATGCTTACCATTGCCTCATTACTGACAAGAAAATGAGCATTTGTGAAATTCAATATATTAAAGCACTATGCCTTAAAATCCTCTCAAAGCTCAATCTAAATAATCAGAGCATTAAGGATTCTGTAATTATATGTGAGAGCTTTACCCAGATTTTCATTCTTGACTGCAGAACTGACACATTCAGAACTCCTGTTTTGGTTGTTACTTTACTTACTGAGACAGGCTCTATTGATCTCAAAGAGCTCTGTGTACACACAAAGACTGATTAAAAGCCGTGAAAGGCCACTGATCCTTTAATTTTAAGCCTCAGGGAATCTGATTTATTCTCCTGAACTTTAATTCTGACATTTTTTCCACTTCTAGATCAAGCAGAAGCAGCAACTTGAAAAATACTCAGCTTGCAAAAAAGTTCTACCTTTCTTTTTTTTCTGAAACAGATGATTAGTGGGGAAACTTCCTCTCACTCCAATGAAATTAAAGAAGCCATGTATGCTGTGGTGAGAGAAATGGGCAGTACCACTCAACTTTTACTGCAGCTCCAGGATCCTGGGAGCCAGCTGTTTATCAAGTGGCCCAACAGCCCAGGGTAAGAAATTTTGTGCTCCGTCTCCCCTGACTGGTTGGCATACCTCACCCACATCTTTGACAAAAGGCAGCCAGCTGCAATTTTCAGTCAGGAACTTCCAAAACTGCTGAGATGGCAGACTTGAACGTGCTCCTCAGACCTCCATGTTTGCCACAGTTTACATCACTGCTGCCATCGTGACACTGAAAGGTATTACAGTGATTTATACCCTACACAGAAGATGCTGTCTGCTTCTGGACCGCTACAATTACAGTGACTGGTCCCTCGCTCAAGGGGTTCGTTGTCTAAGTAAGCGTGACGAGGTGAAGGGGATGTGAGCCCACAACACGGGTCCCACGGGTCTCACCGGCATCCCCTGAAGAAGGCGGCAGGGAGCTGAGCTGCGAGCGCCCTGGCCCAAGGGGAGCGCGGGGCAGCCTGGTTGCGGAGGGCCCCTGAGGGCGGCGCGTGAAGGCCGGAGGGAACCAGCCCGCGGCAATAACCCCGCTGCCCTCGCCCCTGCGTTACACCTGA